CCATCAAACTCACTCCATTTTTTACTTTTTATACTACGAGGTCTGGTCCTGAAGGCAGCCTAACACACACGTTTTTTTTATTTTAGCTAATCTTTTCCTACTTTTGGTAATATTATTATGATACGTTTAGCTTGTAATTTTTATTTAGCCTTTTTTAACTCACTGACAACACAGATACTTTTAGCTGTAGGGTGTGCTACATTTAGCTTTTAGTTAGCGTCAGGCTCTAGTTTTCTATTTTAGCAAGCCATTTGCTACATTTAACTTTCAGACAACTTTTGCTGATTTATCTTACAGCTAGTTATTTTTTATTTGAGTTAGCCTTTTGCTACTTTTAGCTTTTAGTAAGCCTTTTGTTGTCCCCCGTCGCTGAGGCAGGAGACTCAGAAATGCTCTCTGTCCGTCAGTCCGTCTGTGATGGGAAACATCAGCAATAGTTGGCGTCGAGTTCTGTCTTGTTATTTTTAGTTTGTAGCTAGACATTTTCTACATTGACCTTTAGCTACTCTTGTTTTGTAGCTTGTGTTTGCTTCTTGAAGATTTAAAAACTAAATATCAGTGTATTCAGCAATTTTCAGCAGTGGTTCCACACTCAGTACTCACTGCATTTTCACAAAGGATGCTGTTTCTGTAGTTGTAACTGGTGCTAGTGTGGTGTTAAAAGTCCATGTGAAGGGAAATGTTAGTTTGACCAACAGTCAAAGCTGTGTTTTAAATTAGCAGCCAGCTTCACTTTAACTGTTTATCTTAACTTTGCAAAGCAGATCCAGTAGAAGAAGAGGTGAGTGCAGTGTGTTAAACTGTTACCCAGCAGCAGGAAGGGTCTGACAGCACCGACTTGAAGATCCAGACTTTTATCTTCAACAAATCCACATCCAGGTTCCTCCTCCAGCTCCTGGACCTGCTCCACGTGTCCTTCATCACTCCTCGTCTCCAGCAGCTTCCTGCCTGTCACTGTGGTCACACGAGTGCTTTGTTTCTTCAGGTGGTTTTTGGAGAAGCCTTGGATTTCCTGTGCCAGTGAATGCATCACACCAGAGTCTGAGTGCAGCTAAAAGGAAGGAAGCATCAGATTTGCAGATTATTGATTATTTGTTTACCTAAATAACAACAGAGTGAAGTCATGAGAGGTCAGAGCAAGTGTTGCTGGTGCCCCCTGCTTTACTTCTTTTATGTTACATTTCTTAACTCACTTTGTCACTCACAAAGTTTGGGTTCAATCCCATAATTACAACTTTGACGGTTTTAATTTACTTAATTTTTGTATATTTTGTGTTTACTTGTGAGACTTTTATTTGTCAGTTTAGGTCGTAATTTGGCCATTTAACGTTTCTTTTACAGAGGAGATTTGGGTTTTTATATTGTCTCATTTTATTAACACATCATTTTCTCAGTTTGTCTCTTGTGGCTCATTTTTTTCTCATCTAATTTTTTATGACTATTTTGTGTTTCAAGTTGTGTTTCAATGTTTCTGTATTTATGAATTAGTCCGCAATGACTTGGGTCACTAGGTTAATATGCTTTCATTCAAATTAGCTACGTGCCAACTAAATCTGTCAATACAGCTTCATGTTTATCATATAGTCGTTTGCACAATTTCCAAGTCCTGCTACTAATAATTTGATCCTAATGTGCTAAAAGATTGATTATTTATTTTAAGCAACACTAAAGAACAACTTGACAAGTTGCTCAACAATCCTCATTTTAATGCAGAGGTAACTGCATGCTTTTTCATGAAAAGGTATAGTATTATGAATTTAATTTCAGAATATATGACTTCTTTCTCATTACCACTTTATTCTCATTATATTATGACTATTTCATATGACTTTTATGTCGTAATATTATGACTTTATTCTCATATTATGACTTCATCTCGTAATGTTACGACTTTATTCTCATAATATTATGACAATTTCATACGACTTTAATGTCATAATATTATGACTTTATCTCGTAATGTTACAACTTTATTCTCATAATGTTATCTAGTGATGTTATGACTTTATTCTCATAATATTATGACTTAATTTCATAAGACTTTAATCTCGTAATATTAAAACTTTATTCTCATAATATTATGACTATTTCATATGACTTTTATGTCGTAATATTATGACTTTATTCTCATAATATTATGACTTTATTCTCATAATATTATGACTTTATTCTCATAATATTATGACTATCTTGTAATGTTACGACTTTATTCTCATAATATTATGACATTATTTCATGCAAATTTAATGTCGTAATATTGACTTTCTCGTAATATTACAAC